TTGATATTTTCTGGAACCCGCTCCATACCGTAGCACATTCAGCATATACAACAGCTGCAAAAGTTCCCGAGAAGCCCCCGTCCTTCATGGTCTCAACCACCTCCATACAGTCTGATTGGATGATCAACTGATTACATCCTATGTGCGGAGCTAGCATCAATCCTTCCTTTAAAGCGTAAGCCTCAGCCATTGGCGCATCCACAACATGAGGTATGAAACTGTGCGCTGCTACTAACACACGCCCTAAGCTATCTCTGAATATTGCGCCCACGCTTCCACAACCCACATCTTCATCAAAACTTGCATCAACGTTTACCATAACTTTACCTTCAGGTGGTTTCTTCCATCCTTCTCTGATTTTCATCCCCTTCTTAGAAGCCATTTTGTAATTCTTGGCTAGATCTGCGATCGACATAGCCGACCTCGATGCCTGCTGGATAGTCTCACCATGAGTGTATTGCTGCCGCTCCCACCAGATATACTAGCTTCCCACTAGAACCAGCTCCGCCATGCCAATATCGAGGCTCCTGACTTCCTCTCCTCTTCTTATAATTTCTTCTAGGACAATAGATCCTGACCGATCTGTGCCAAGTAGGGAGGCTATCATACCCCAAATGCCAATCGTACTCCATATAGCCTTTGCTCGATCACATGTGAACAATAAGTGCTTGATATCTTCAGCCCCATGTTGGCACATGGGGCACCCACCTGTGACTGGAATATGCCGGTTTGCAAGGATAGCCTGGCAAGGAATAAATCCATACAAAACCCACCACCCAAAGATCTTAATTTTCCCTTGTATCTGCAATTTCCACAGCCTCTTCCATGCTTGACTCCTCGCTGCACCGCTTGCAGCCATTGAATTGCATCTTGGCCCAAACTTACTCTCCCATTGGCAATGATAAGCTGAACGCACCGAAAAGATCCTGTTTCTATTAAAATGCCACGCCACAAGATCTTCCCTCCCTGGGGTGATAGGGATTTGCAAAATTAAGGGCACATCAATTGGCCAAAAGATGGACTTCACCAAGTCGACATCCCATGTTGCATCTGCTAGGTTGATCAACTCCTCCACCTTTGAATCAGATTGTTTCCCCTAGGCGTTTGGATCTTTAAATTATGACTCCCTAGGATCCAGCTATCCTCCCATATATTTATTTGTGTGCCATCACCTACTCTCCATATGTAGCCACGTTTGAAACACTCAAGCCCTGCTATAATACTTTGCCATGTCTATGAACACCCACTCCTCATTTTTGCCTTTAATAATTCACCATTGGGATAATATCTGGCTCTCAGCACCCTAGCACAAAGAGAATCTGGATTGGTTAGCAATCTCCAAACTTGTTTTGCTAGCATGGCCAGATTAAAAGATTGTAGGTCCCTAAAACCCATTCCTCCTTTGCCTTTTGGCATACACAGCTTCCACCATTCTTGCCAATGTATTCTTTTATGTTCATCGTCATCACCCCACCAAAACTACGAGATAGTACTTGTTATTCCGTTGCAAATGTTTTTAGGAATTTTAAATACCATCATCGCATAGACTGGCACGGCTTGAGCAATGGAATTAATCAGAATTTCCTTTCCACCCATACTCAACATTTTCTCCTTCCAACCATTTATCCTGGTCATCACTCTATCTATCAAATGACGGAAGCAGTCACTTTGGTCAGCACCTACCATTGCAGGTAGTCCTAAATATTTATCATTCAGTGACTCCGTCATAATATTCAGCGCTTCACAAACCTCCGCCTTCACATCAACATCAGTATTTGCTGAAAAAACACACTCAACTTTGCCTCACTTAGTTTCTGCCCCCAACTGAGGCAATACCGATTTAGGATATCAACTAAAACATTGGCATTCTTCTTATTCGCATGCATCAAAATAAGAGTCGTCTGTGAAGAGGAGGTGTGATATTGTTGGAGCCTCCCTACATATTTTGATTCTCTCTAGCTCTCTCCTTTCCTCTGCTCCTCTAAGCATGCAAGACAGACCCTCGGCAACAATTAGAAACAAATATGGTGATAAAGGATCACCTTGTCGCAAGCCCCTTGTAGGTGAAAAACTATTTGTCTCTACAGCATTAAAATGAACAGGGTACTGCACTGAATTCACACACAGGCCATAATTAATTTAATCCATCTTTGATCAAAGCCTAGCTTCAACATCATTTTCTCCAGAAACACCCACTCCACTCTATCATAGGCTTTATGCATGTCCAACTTTACAGCGCAAAGACCCCGTTTTCCTTTCTTCTTCTTCATTGTATGAATGCATTCATAGGCTAGCAAGATGTTATCTGTTATTAATCTTCCTAGGACAAAAGCACTTTGATGGTCACTTATAATATCTGGTAGAATAGTCTTAAGTCTATTGGACAGCATGTTTGAAATTACTTTGTAAACCACGTTGCACAACGAGATAGGCCAGAATTGAGTTACCTTGTCAGGATTTTCTACCTTTGGGATCATAACTATGATAGTATTATTCCACCCATCAGGAATAGCCTTGTTGTGTATGGCATCCAACACCTCATCTACCAAATCATCCTCTAACAAATTCCAGAATCTCTTGAAAAATATTGCATGAAGCCCGTCAGGACCTGGCACCTTCAGGTCCCCTTTTGACCTCCTCTCTTGAAAAAGGTGCTAGAAGAAATTGATTCATCTCATGTGTTACCTTCTGGTTGACATCTACCAGCACGTCGTCATCAACCTCATTTACCTCCGATGTGAACAAGTGCGTGAAATATTCCTGCACCATCTCCCCCATCATCTCCACATCTTCATGCCTGACCCCCTGGTCGTCCACCAGTCCCTTCACCATATTTTTCTTCTTCTGGCTAAAAGCAAAGTGATGAAAGAAATTTGTGTTTCGATCACCATGCTTAAGCTAATTTGCTCGAGCTCGTTGGACCCAAAAAATCTCTTCCTGCTGTAGCAATAATTCCAGCTGGAGAAGTATCTCCTTTTGTGCAATAATAGAGTCATCCGTCATCGTCCCACGCCGCAGCTTCTCTAACTCCCGCTTCAATTTCTTCATTTGTTGGGCCGGCTTCTTTGGAATTTCCCTATCCCAGATGTGTAAATCATCATGCACTTTATTCAATTTCGCCATGAATGTTGATGTTTGTCCCTGAGTAGATGCTCTCGCCCATGCCGATTCTATCACTTCATTCACTGTCTCCTCCTTTAGCCACCTCGCCTCGAATCTTCTTGGGCCCCGACGTATCATATTTTGTCCCCCAAGCTGATCCGTGTCCACAATAATTGGATGGTGGTCTGATTTCACCATTTACCAGACCCACATTAGGGAATTTAGTATTCCACTGAGCATTTGTTACTCCACGATCCAAACGCTCTCTTATTTTTCCCCTCTGCCATGTGAAAATATCACTTGTAAAACCCATATCTGCCAACTCACAATCTGCAAGTACATCATGGAATGCTTGCAATTGCCTTTGGGTCCTTGCTGGTCCACTTACTTCTCATAGTGATATAAAATCTCATTAAAATCTCCCAAAGCCAACCAAGGAAGTACCACGCTAGTGTTCAAAGAGCGTAGAGCTTCCCATGTTCGGTCTTTGTGTTCCCCATAAATTCCAGTTAGCCTCCAGTCTCCATCATTTCGAATAATGACATCAATATAATACTGTGATATACCCTTGCACTGGACCACCACTTCCTTCCTCCAGAGCATCAACAAACCACCACTACGGCCATCACTCTCATGAATGATGAAGTGATCACAGCCAACACTCCTCTTCAAATTTTCTGCCTTCGCCTTTCCCAAATGTGTTTCAGACAGAAAAAACACATCTGGTTTTTCACGCTTCTGAATTTCCAGAAGCGCTCTAACTGCCCGGGCACTGGCGAGCCCGCGGCAGTTCCACGCCAGGATTTTCATTGCGCTTGGTCACCCTCCTCAAAAGAGGGCGCCGATCTTACAATTGCGCTGGTCGAGCCATCTTCCCCACCTCCACTTCTCCTTGGTCTCTTCTTCTCTTGCTCCTTTAAAATATTAGCACCTGATAGAAGTGCGTGTTCCAGCAGGTTAACCTGTTGTGCAACACGCCCTCCCCCATCAATAGCTCCTCCATCTCTCTTCTTTGAGGAATTTTCATCTTCCTCATCTTCATCATCAACCGAGGTCTCCATCGCATCTATCTCAGCATCATAATTTCCTTGTCCTCTTCCCCCTCCTCGCCCTCTCCCTCGACCACGTCCCCTTCCTCTTCCTCCCCAATTTTCCTCTCTTCCCACCGCCCGCAAAAAGGGGACTCGGAGCCAATCCCCCCATTCACACTTCTCCCTACTATGTGTGCCATCTCCACATTATGTGACACCATGTCCCATGTGTCCGTAATGAAAGAAAAAACTAGAAGCTTCTCATATTGCACTAGGTACTGCATTCTCTCCTTCAAAGTAGGGGCAGTTCGGCTGGTTGAAAAACCAGTTGGAATTCACTGTTCACGGCTGGTTTTTACTGTTCACGCTCTCGTAAATTTCTCCAGATTCATCCAGATTCCTCCCGGCGAACGGGCCCGTAATCCGTACCACGTGCACAAACGGTTTATTGATCAAGCAAGACCCTAGTGCGCATGTACGGTGGCAAGATTAAAAAAGAGAGACGTGACCACAAGCGGTTAGCATTCTGTTGATCAGACGACCCTAGGGTGAAAATGGTATGGATATTTTCCGGCAACATTCAAAAGAGAGAGGGTTTAAATATGTCGTGACCAATATTCAACAACCGATATTATATCCGTATCCTAATACTCAAATCACATATCTACGATGTCAATATCCAATCGTAAAATCCGTTCTGGGTTTTATATCGGCGGTTTATAATATTAATGATATCCGTTATCCGTTTTCATCATGTCACATTATCACACGCACGGCACACCAAAGTCCAGAGCCGCCGCCTGTGTTGCCCGGTGCGGCGGCGCAGCCTCCCCAGAAGCCACCGGCCGCCGGCCGCCGGCCGCGGAGATGGAGCTTCTGTGTCCCAGTGCCAAGAGGAGGAGATCTGAGGACCTCGCAGCCGATGAGGCCCAGCCGCGGGCAACGGAAGCCACGGAGGCGGCCAATCTCGAACCTACAACCCACAGCAAAGAACCGCCGCCGCCGCCGCCGTCTGAAGCTGCTGGTGGTGGTGGTGGTGGCGGCGGCGGCGGCGGCGGCGGCGGCGAAGACGACGTCGACCGCATCAGCGGCCTCCCCGACGCCGTCCTCGGTGAGATAGTTTCGCTTCTCTCCACCAAGGAAGCTGCTCGTACCCAAATCCTCGCCTCCCGGCGGCGCCACGTCTGGCTCGCCTCCCCTCTCGTCCTCGACGGCACAGACCTCTCCACCGAGCCCAAGGCCTACCCCCGCGACGATAAGAAGCTTAACGCCGCCAACGAGGCCCTCGCCAGCGCTGTCTCCCGCATCCTCTCCGCCCACCCGGGCCCCGGCCGCCGCTTCTGCGTCCCGCCGCACTTTCTCCAGGACCGTCCCGCCACCGTGGACGCCTGGCTCAGCTCCCCGGCGCTTGCCAACCTCCAGGAGCTTGATTTCTGGGATATGAAATATTGGTATATGCAACCGTCTCCGTTGGCACCGCCACCTGCCTCTACTTTCCGGTTCTCGGCTACCCTCCGAGTTGCTACCTTCGGCAAATGCGAGCTCCTGGATAGTTCAGTGGAAGGGATTCACTTTCCCCACCTCAAGCAGCTCGGCCTTGAAGATGTCAGCATCTCCGAGGGCTCACTGCATACCATCATTTCCAGCTGCCCTGTCCTGGAGTGCCTGCTGCTTAGAGACATCTTTGGGGTTGGCTGCCTCCGGATTAGTTCCAGTAGCCTCAGAAGCATCGGTGTGGGTGTTGGTCGTCTTAGGGAGAATCTCCAGTTCTTACAGGAAGTCATAATTGTCGATGCCCCTTGTCTTGAAAGATTTCTCTATCTTGGCAAGCCAATGAATTTAACTGTAATCTCGGCACCTAAACTGGAGACCTTAGGCTGTCTTATTGATGAATGGTCTCATCCTCCCTGGCTTGTGTTTGGCACCACATCGATTCAGGTAGTCATGGCATTCTATTTTCCTCCCATGAAAAGGCTGCTGGTTTTGTTTTTCTGTTACACAGAGGTTTCATATCATCTGCATTTGCACATGGCTTGATGTTTTGTTCGATGCTTGATTCAGGGATTAAAAGTTGTAAGCCTGACAACGGCATTGAGCAATGTCAAGACTCTAGCCGTCGCATCAGATTTTATTGATCTTGATACGGTCATTGAGTTGATGAAATGCTTTCCATGTCTGGAGAAGTTATACATAAAGGTGATAGTTCTTCAGTTACAGTTTCTGGATCACAATGTTCATATATTCTTTTTATTGACTTGGTGTTAATCCTTGTACCAATGTGGTTTGAGTTTCCCATTTTGACCTGTTTTGTTCTTCAGTCTTGTATCAGAGTGAAAATGAATCGATGGCGTCGTAAACACAGGGATTTCATTAAAAGCTTTGATATCCATCTCAAGACAATAGTGTTGGAGCAGTATCGAGGCCTCAGATCACAAGTCAATTTTGCCTCATTCTTTGTACTGAATGCGAGAGAGTTACAGTCAATGAGACTCGAAGTTGGAGCCAGTGCTTGCAATGAGGCTTTTTTTGCAGAACAATATGGGATGCTTCAGATGGAAAAAAGGGCGTCGAGAGGTGCACAGTTACAGTTTACAAAAAAAATATGTACCCATCGTATACATGTTGATCATGTCCGTGATTTGTCTGTAGCAGACCCCTTCGAATGTAGATGGTAGAATTGGTCTGGGTCTTTCGCCTTGGTTTGGCGGCTCTCATTTTGTATTTGTCGGAACAACCGTTTCTCATGATTGTAGTGTTTTGAATATCTATTACCTGGAACTTGGGATATTTAAACAAAATATGCCCGTTCTTAGTTTATGCTATATGTGATAAACTGACTATAGTATAAATAGCAAATATGAGAGCCATGTACTATTGTGTAAGATTGCTGCAGTAGAATTTTTTTATTTCAAATTCTTAATATCAGCAACCTCCTCAGTAGATTTATGAAATCTTCATTTGGTACTACATATTAGTCTTGTAACTCCCAACTCAAGGAAGCAGTGATGTCCGTAGTTAATCATCTCATGTGTCTTAGTTACAAAATCCCCAATTAGATGTTTCTTCTTATGGTTTCAGGGAAAGGCCTCCGTTTCGCCTTGTTTCGCCATAGCAGCAACCTCGCCGAGAGCTCCGCCGCACACCTCACCGCGGTGCCGACTCTGCCGCGTCCTTTGGTCGCCGCCGGTGCATCGATTGGTTCCCCCGTGATCCCAATTGGAGGAAAGGAGCCACCCTCGGCTCCAATCGCAGCCGTAGCCACCTCGCCGCCGTCTGCCGCCATCGTCGTGCCGCTGCCACCGCGGCCAGCCTCGGTTGAGCCCTGCAGACGCGTCTAGAGTAGTAGTCACGTTCTCGGGAGCGCAAGGGAGCCTTCCCGACGCACCGTGGAACCCCGCCGTCGACCCCGCGCCACCGCACCTCGCCGTGGAGCCTACGCCGGGCGCTGAAGTCACCAAGGCGTCGCCTTTAGCCCATCGGTGAACTCGCCGTGAGCCAGCAAAGCCGTAGAGCCCCCTAGCAACCCCGTCTGAGCCACCACAGCGTGAGAACGGGCGGGCTCGCTGCCGGCGAGAGCTGCCGCGCCACTGTCACCCCGTGCACCCGGTGCGCCGTAGACCGAAGGAAGGAGGGAGAAAGGGTGAGCCGCGCCCGTGGGCGTGAGCCCGTTAGCAGCCCACTAGCGCCACATGGCCGCCTGCCTGCTTGACACGTGTCCGGACTGGGACGGCCCAACTCGGCCTGAATCCGTCCCACTAGGCCCAGTCCGAGCCCAGTCAACGTTGATCGTTGATTGGTCAACGCTGACCGTTGACCGACCCCACCTGTCAGTGACTCATCCGCCTCGGCCAATCACCACCTGCCACGTGTCAGCCTCTAGTTTTTCCATTCCTTTTTCTTTTTCAAAATATGATTTAAACTTAGGAAATTCATAGAAAATTCATACGACTTTAGAAAAATATGAAACCAGAGTCCAAATTTTCTAAAAATGAGCTTTACGTCATAGGCTCATGTTTGAGTACATTTGGATCTTTTGAATTTCCGTTGCTTCTTTGGGGGCGTTCGCTAGTCTGATCACCACCCTATATCTCATGGCACTGCAAACATCAAACCAAAAGCAGTTTTTTCTCTCACAACAAACCACCGAATGGAGCAGTATTTTTCAGCCAAGTTTCATGAAATTGAGCACCATCTATAGGGCTCGCTTATTATGCTATATATGTCTCATTTGATGAGATCTTGAGGAGCGCAGATGGAGGAGCACGACCCTTAAGGAAAATGGACCCTTGGTCCATTTACTTTGGATTTTGGTGTTTGATGATCAACACAACCAAATTGGACTAATGAATTTGCAAGTGATTGTTTTGTAGTTCAATAGGATGCAAGACGTGACTTGAACGAAGGCATCGTGATGATCCGATGATCAACACCATAAGCAAGACCTTAGAAGCACAAGAGAAGATCCAAGATATCAAGCAAAGTCCAAGCACGAAGATAGGAACCAAGCCATACGCAAAATCGCGAAGAAATGAAGCTCACAGAAGTGATCGGACGATGGACCGGACGCTGGCACAAGCGACCGGACGCTGGACCAAATGCTCTGATCAAGAGGCTCGGCAAACAGGCGTCAGCAGCAGTGACCGGACGCTGGCGGCTAAACCGATCGGACGCAGGACAGTAGAGTCCGGTCGAGTACAGAGAGGTTCTAGAGCGGCGAAAATGCGACCGGACGCGTTCGGTGGCATGTGACCGAACGCTGGCAGCGTCCGATCAGTGGTTCGCGGCTCCAACGGTCGGGATGACCGAACGCGTCCGGTCAGGACGACTTCAGCGTCCGGTTAGTAGCAGAAAAGCAGGATTTCATCCCCAACGGCTACTTTCTCAGTGGGGCTTATAAATACAACCCCCAACCGGCCATTTGAGTAGAGTGGAGCTGAGGAGACATATCTAGGGTGTTGATACACCATTTTAGTGATCTCCACTTGTATAGTACTTAGTGTTTCATTAGGTGATTAGCGTAGGTGCTTTGCGAAGTGCTTAGGTTCATTAGACCACCGCTTATGCGCTTGCTCTAGGTTTAGGCCTAGTGTTTAGTGAGGTTTGCATACCTCTTACCACTCGGTGCTTGCGCGCACCATTGTTGTACATCGGAGGGGCTTGTAGTCTTGCGAGATCATACCAACCGCGTTTGTGGTGTGGCCGCCATCGTGTACTGGAGGGAACAACGCCCGCGGCGTTTTGGCCGGGAGCTTGATAGTGAAGACGGCGGGAAGCATTCGGAAGATGCTTGCCAGAAGGCACGTCAGAGACCCACTTGCGTGTGGGGAAGGCCCAAGGCTATCCACGGAGTTATCCAACCGGGAGCTTGGCCCTTGCGAGGGATTCCTTGCGAGGGGCTCCAACGAGGACTAGGGGGAAGCTTGCGCGCTTCTCGATACCTCGATAAAAATACCAGAGTCGTCGACGGAAGTTTGCATATCTCTACCTTGCTCTTTAGCTTTCGCATTTATATTGATTACATTACTCCTTTTGCGGTAGAGATAGCAACACATTAGCAAAATCGTAGTTGCACATTTAGATAGTTTATCTTTTGCATAGGTTTTGCTAAGGGTAGAAAAAGAGGCCTTAGTTTAGAGTTAGAATTTTAAGTTGCCTAATTCACCCCCCCCTCTCTTAGGCGTTACGGTCCCCTTCAATTGGTATCAGAGCCGGTTGGCTCAATTTGGACCTTTGCCTTAACCGCCGTTGAGCCGACGCCATTTGGAGTGGTTGGGATGGATACCTCTAGGCCTCCGCACTTTGACAGCACTAACTTCTCTTATTATAAAGCTAGAATGGCTTGCTACCTTGAGGCGGTTGATTTGGGTGTTTGGAGAGTCACTCGTGATAGGATGAAACCCATTAAGAATCCCAAAAACCCACAAAGAGTGATGAAAAAGAAATACATTTCAATGCTAGAGCTAAGAATTGCTTGTTTGAATCTTTTAGTATGGATGTGTTTAACCAAGTGTTCACTTTAAATACGACACATGAAATTTGGTTAAAACTCGAATAGCTCCATGACGGCACAAGTAATGTCCGTGAGCAAAAACATTGTCTAGCTAAGCAAAATTATGATTCCTTTACAATGAATGATGATGAGCTTATTCATGATATGTATTCTCGTTTGAATCTAATTATCAATAAGCTCCATTCTATAGGATTAACAAAGCTAGATGATGCGGACATCGTGAGGAAGATCATCTCCGTGCTACCATAAAAGAAATATGCAAGCATCATCACCATCCTTCACAACATGGAGAACTTGAGCAACATGATCCCGGCCATAGTCATTGGCAAGATAGTGGCATTTGAAATGTCACGCAAGATGGGTCAAGAAGAAGCCTCTTCATCAAGCAAAGGCAAAGCTCTTGCATGTGGCAAGAAAAAGAGGATGAAGGGCAATCAAGTTGAGACAAGCTCAAGCTCCTCAAGTGAAGAAGAAGAAAAAGATGAGGATGATGATGATGATGAAGATTCAAGTGATGATGATCAATCTTCCTCCTCCACCTCCGACCTTGACGAAGAATCAATCAAATTAATCAACAAGGTGGAGAAGATGATCCAAAGGCTCAATGTCAAGGGTGTGCCCATCCAAATTCAAGATCTCATTTTTACCAATCAAAGAAATGAGCAAAGAAAGAGATGATGCTATGGATGCGGCGAGTTGGGGCACTTCATGGAAGTTTGTCCAAACAAGCCCACACCCAAGACAAAGAAGAAGACATGCAAGAACCAAGCCCTCACATCAATAAGGTCATGGGATGATTCTTCAAGTGAAGAAAAACACCATTACAAGAGGCGAGGCCGCAAGCACTCATCATCAAGCTCTTCTCGTGTGTGCCTTATAGCACGAGGTAACAAAAGCTCATCCTCTAGTGAGAGTGATAGTGATGATGAAATGTCTACTTATGATGAAATTGTGCAACAAAATCTTAATTATGCTAAAGTTTGCACTAGTCAGCAAAAGAAGCTCGAAAAATTAAAAGAAAAGCTAAATAGTTCACAAGAAGCATACAAAACTTTGCTTGAACAATATGAGAACTTTTCTAATCTCAATGTTCAACTATCTACTAAAATTGAGCAACTTAAGGCTAGTGCAACAACAAATGCATGCACAATCAATGATGAGCAACTTGTAAAGAAAAATGAAAAATTAAAAGAAAAGTTAGCTAGCTCACAAGATGCTTATAAAAGTTTGCTTGCTAAAATGGAAACCATGGGCAAACATTGTGATGAGCTAACTAACAAAGTTGGTAAGCTTGAAGCCGTTAGTAACAACCCCCACCAAGGCATCTAAAAAGAAAAGTTCTATCTTTAACATGTCTAAAAAGG